AATGTATTATCTAATTCCAAGGATAATAAATCATCTTCAAAAGGTATTAGGTCTAGGTGATATTCGTTAATTGTGATCTGTAAAATTATTAGTCAAGGAAACTTCTTTGAACAGATAATTCATAAAAAAAATCTATAAAATTCATAATATCAAGGATATCACCAAAGACCCCAGCTTCTTCTAAAACTTTTTCACAGATCATTGTTCTACGTGGAACAAAAAAGAGTGTATATTCATACTTTTGAGCGTCAGGGTTCTCTACGTATTCATTTTGGTGATGCTGGATGTGTTCTGGAAAAGAGGCCAAAGTAACAAAAATTTGTTATTTTAATAAATTAAAAAAAAATGATCATGAAAATTTTATCTATACCAGCTATATATTTCATATAAATTAATTGTGGTCTGCAAATGTAAATTAAGCTTCGAAGTTCGGTATCAAGTGGCCCTTGTTGAAGATAATGTACTTTTTCAACACCATGTTCCTTCGATAAATAGTTGAATCACGCTTCGTTATTTCATTCACTGCTCTAATTCATTGATTCTAATCAAAATTAATTTATAAATACCCTCAAAAGTGAAAATTCTGCAATAAGACTCAAAGGTCCACTTATGTTGGGATCCAAAACTAGGCATTTTTTCCCCCTCACCTACGTATAATAAATTATAGGCTTATTGTCTTTTTACTTTTTAAAATCGATTTTAAATTACATTGACTTGGTTCAGTAGAAAAGGAATAATTTTATATTGATTTGCGGGTTGAACTTTTCTACCGAACAGTGTTAAGCATTAATGTTTTACTCATATAGAAGAATGCATACAGAATCAAGCACATTCTTTAAATCCTTTCGCGCCAACTCTCTCAGAGTTGTTACGTTTAAAGAAGAGTTTGTAGTGCCTAAGTGAGACATGTTGACAATATCATTATCGCTTGTTTTAATCGTGCTAATATCATTTATTCCAACCAATCAAAATTATTTAGATTCGATATCGATTATTCACTAAGATTGGTGGGCTTTACGTTTATACACTGACTCTATATTGCCTAATCTTTATTTAAAATATATAGTATACTGTATTATATAGGAAAATGCCTTTATTTCTAGGCCGTCTAAACTCCAGCAAAAAAAAAAAAAAAAAAGCTAAACCAGTCGACAAATTGTCAATAATTTGAAAATGCAAGAAAACTGAACGAAATAAATATATTTTATTTAGAATGAATTCCTGCTCTGAATCTTTATTACTCCATTGGGTATGTTTAATACTGTAATATGGATTATTGCATAGCAACTCCATGCTTAGAACATATAAAATACAAATACTCTAAGCACGAATTTGCCAATGCAACAACCCATGTTACTATTACTAATGTTTATGTTATTTTTAACCTATGCCAGTGGTTATTGATAACCAGAGTGCTATATTTCAAGAAAATTCACTAACCAATACTACGCAAGTAAAAATGTTCAGGACCTCGAAAACCTTATGCAAACTAAAATTTAGACCTTTTTACCTAACCTATATTATGTTCTATAAACCCATGTCCTAAAACTGTACCCAAACCCTAAATTGTAATAGAAACTTACTATGGTTACTATGGTTATTAATAACCACTATAGTGTAAAAAATAATGATTATTTTTATATATTTTTATAATATATATAATAATTGCAATAATTTAGAATAAAAACATTCTTTTATATGTAAGAAAAAAATGCTTCATTGCACCATCTCGCGCAAAAAATGACCATTTACCAACCTTAATGATGTGATAATGATAAATAATTTGTAGAACAGTCAATACGATTATTAAATAGTGAAGATTACTGCGCTTTTCAAATTACTGTTTGTAATCAGCATCACACTCCAGGAATCTGAAAATCAATTCTATCAATACGTACCATCCCTTGTTAATTTAAATATTTAAGAATTTTATTAATCTGTAGAAGCATTGAATATTGAAAATAAGCGGATATTAGTAAGATTCCTTCGTTCAAAATTTATGAGTAGTTAAAAAATCAAAAATTTTTATTGTTTGGTCAACCAACAGAAAGAAAAAGCGCAGTAATTAAGATCAAACCAGAGACTTCTCGATGGGGTGTTTGATCGACTAATTGTAACAAAGATCAGTATAGACCCCTAATTAAATCAATTAGGACAGATTTTTAATATGATCGTATTGTTACACAGGCGAATATCATTTTTTAATAGTAATTTACTATACGAAAGTGATGAATGTTTAAAATCTAACACCTCCCTCAGTATTAAATATTCGAACTTAAAAATATTATGAAATAGGCCAAAAAAGTGTGCTTTTCAATCTGTCATGAGGGTTTTTGTTGGTACTCACGTTTTAATTTTTTTTCTTAATATTTTGTGGATATTTATATAATTGAAAAGGATTAATTTGTAAATAGCTCGCGTTACACCTTAAATATTAAAATTTTGGCACGAGCATTTAAAGTACTGGTTATGATGCATTGATTAATGCAATTATCTTTTTAATTAACTAAAACGCTAAAAACTAGATAGCAAAAATTGTAAGTGATCATGTGACATATTTAATAATTCTGATTGGATAAAATCTAATCAAGAATTACAAAGTAAATAAAATTAGATTGAATATTATTACGGTCTGGGAAAGACATGTAATTTCTCATCTCTGAATTTAATTCTAAGTCATAGATTTTAAGACGGCTTACCAAGAAAGAAGAATATTCATTTAGGACGCAGTAAGTGTGGAAAGTTGGTTTTGGTACTGTATTTTAGTTGTTTTATCATGTGTACAATCACGTGCAATAGCCTTTATTCCATTAGAATGATTTTTGATAAGGGTATACTTGAGTATATTTTTTTTTATGATGCATCTTTATGCTTGTATTATCAATTAAAAGAAATCTTTTTTATTTGTTAAGTGATTCTTTATATAAGATTCATAACTAATAATAAAGCGTAAAAGAATTAATTACAAACTAATGAAGTAATAGATCATAAAATTAGCTGTTTTAATTTAAATAGTAAATCATTACACTAAAGTGAGATAATGTCTTCTAAATATTATAATGGAATTCATATAACTTTGTGTCTAATTGCTAATTCGTCCAATTTGTACAATTTTGTGTTCAATTAGTACAAACTATATTCCAATTGTCCAGCTCGTGCAATTTTATATCCAATTAGTATAATCTATATTCTAATTGTTCAAACTTGTGCAATTTTATATACTGTGTCCAATCAAACAACCCTTATATCCAATTGTTCAAGTCACAAACTTTTGTTTAGGTTCAAACATGCTTTTGTAATAATCTTTATGTATCAATTGTTTAGTTCACGCAACTCTTATATCCAATTGATTTAATTGTTCAAGTCGTAAATTTATATTTTTAGTTTTTATATTGTTTAAATATCAGCTTTTGTAATAGTTTTATAATTTATTGTATGCATCTTATGGATGACAGTTTATTATAATAAATTAAAGTGTTTACAATTGTCTTTAAATTATTTATTTATTATAAAAAAAAATATTTAAATATTAAGAAATAAAATATATTTCCAAAAACTATATGTTAAAGTATTATATTAAACAATTCCAAGCCAAAAAACAATTTCTATATTCAATTGCAATGCCAAAAGTTTCTAAAAAATGTCTCTAAATGATTCAATTAATGGCTAATCGTATAAGGGCTAAAAAAATTAGAAAAGCCACAGATGCTCTTCAGAGTCTTAACGAAGATTTTGATAGCATTCTAGAGTTTATATATAGTATTAAAAAAAAATAAGTTAGAAGCTTACATAAAATCTAACGATAAACTTATTGAACTTATCCAAGGCTTAGACAACAAAAAGAAAGAAGATATATTAAAATTGCTGAACAATATGAGATATCTACGAGAAAAAAATGAAGGCAAAATTATATTTTTATATTTGCAACAGCAATTAGTTAAAGTAATTTCTAACTCCCTTTATCGGCCACAAGATAGCTATTCTGCTTTAAAAGAAGAATATGATCATCTTTGGCTTCAAAACAAAAAGTTAACCCAGAAAAATGAAGCTCTTATTAAAAAAATAAAATCTTTCAGATCTCAAAATCGTCACTTTAAACAAAAAATATTGCGTTAATTATCTAAAATACGTTTCTTAGTTTGTAACTCTAAAAAAATTTCTTCAGAAGACTTTAAAAAACAAGTTAAAGCACTTTTTAAATCAAATGATCGATACTATTCATCAGATATGATTTGACTTATAACTAAGTTGTCTCAAGTCAGACAAGTTTCAATGCATGCAACTATAGAATATACAAAGTTAATATATGAATTCTTAACAGGGAGGTATCGAAAAGTTGGCTCTTAATGGAATGAGTTACAATCTGGTATAAGCAAATATCAAAATTAGCCATTTCTAATTTAGTCAAACATGCTCAACAAACCAATACCTTTAGTATTTCTGTTAACGAATCAATACGCGGTCAAGACAAGAACTTGATTATCTGTTTTATGTATTGGGATAAGGAACAAAATTATCCAATAGCAAGTATGATCAGTTTAAACATTATAAAAAAATATAATTCTGATACTATTGCAAATTCTGTAATCAAAACTTGCCGGAAATATCAACTTGATATACAAAAATATATAATATGGCTTACTGATAATACCACATACATGTCTGGAAATGTGAACGGGTCATTATTAAGTTTAATAGGCTGACCAATTCAAATTCAACTCAAATTGGGTATACTCTGCATATTATTAACATTGTGTTTACTAACTTTGAAAATGAAGCCTTTGGACGTATGTCAGGTTTTTCAAGAAAATCTTATCCTTATAATCTCCTGTATCTTGCTTGGTATCTCCACAACAGCTACGGAAACAAAAATAATAATGCTCTAATAAATATAAAATCAGAATATATTCAAGCTCTTTATAAATCGCTCATTGGACATTGCTATTCACAATATCAAATGCTATTACAAACTCGTTGAGGGTATGAGTTGCATACAGCCGAACAATATCTAGAGAGAAGAGAGTCACATCTTGAGTTCATAGAATAGTTTGTTCAAGCAATGGAATCTTACCCTAATACAACACAATCTTATTTAACCGATTGGCGCCTCTTTTATACCTGGCTTAAAGATGAAAAGCTTAATATTCAACTAAAATGTTTAACAATATTTGGTCAACAATTTTTTATTCTATTAATGACATTTCTTGTTGGTCAAGATCCTGTATTGTGAATATTTAATAGCAAAGACTGGATAAATTTACCTCTTGGTCGATGTGCACATGAAATGCCTGACAAGGTTTTAGAATGGTTAGGTTTTTTAACAAACGCTACAAATAATTTTGATATGTTCTTCTCTAAAGAATTACTTGAAGCACTTAAATTATTAAGTGAATCAGATTTTGGTAAAATATTTGATTCACTAGAAAAAGGTATGAAAAAAGCAATTACATATTTTGAAAAATAGATACTTCAATAGATGAAATTACCTTTATCAGTTTGTCGATTAGAAGAAAATTATGCCTAGTCTTTTGCTAAAAGTTACTGTCATATTGTTTTAAATTTTCCAGTTCTTCAGCCATCTGAATGAGAGATAACCTATATACAACAACTTGAAAATGATATTAAAATGATAATACTTTAGATTTTGGATTAAGAGCATCTCTTGTTTCAGACTTAACTTTTATGAACAATTTGATAATTTTTGTGAAGAATCAAATTCTAGTTTATTTGACTATCCGCTTCTTTATAAATTCATAACTACAAAAATTTATTATATAGTTGTCCATCAGCAACAGATTGAAGGCATGTTTAACAAGCTTGATTTAAAAACTCATTCAAATATGTTACTGGATTTTAAAGAATCTAAACTACATCTTTCTGGAACAAATTTTTCTAAGGATGACGTTAAAAATGAAATTGTTAAGATTCGACAATGTAATAAGAAAGAAAAAAAAGAAACAAATATGGAGGGTTTTGGTACACAGTATATATTAACTACGTTTAATGATTTTTTTCAAAATTGAAAGTTTTTTTTTTAATCGATATCAAATATGTACAATTATTTGGCAAGTACTATGTAAACACTGACAGAAAAAATTTCACATTATTGCCGCAGATTAATATTAAAATCATTTTAATATAAAACTTGTAGCATAATATCAATTTTTTCCGTAAGTGTATACGTCATACCTGCCGAATAAACTAGTTATCCAGTATAATAGTGATGAATACAGATTAACAGAATAATAACAACACACGTGGCCTTCGGCCATGTACTTTTGTTATTATCCTGCCAATAACTGTGTATTCGTCAGATCATGCCAGATAACAAGAAATTATCAGTATAAGAGGCCTTAAAGTTACTTTTTTGATGTATTTAAATTATTATTTATGTATAAATATCAAAAATACAAGTTATGCAGTATATAGATCAACATGTAAATCTGTCTCTCTAAATTAGCCAATTGTATTATTTAAAAATCTTAATTATACAGATTTAATAAGGGTCTACAAATATGTTTGATTTATTATGTTGACCAAACACTCAAACTTCTCGATGTCATTCAAATAATACAGTACATTATTGATTTTGTTTTATTAATTGAAATAAATATTACTTTTTCATTAATACAATTTGAATACTTATACAATATTTCAACGTTTAAGTGCATTTTCTTAAAACTATAGTAAAAATAAAAGCCTACACCTAAAAAAAAGTTATGTAACTGAGTTTAAATTTTTCTGAAAAACAAATCTTATATTCAAAATTAGAAGTAATACTTCTTTCACTTTGGTGAATAGTGGCAAAATTATATCAAAAGATGCGTAAACTAGACTTCAGAAATGAACTTTGGTTAATTTAGTTACATATGTATGTTAATCATATCGGCAGAATCCTAAAAATTGTGGGTATAAAATCATTACTGCGCTTTTCAAATTATTACAATTTTTTTTTTTTTTTACAAATTGCTAAAATAATTATATTTCTAGAGATTCCCTATTGAATACTAATTTTATAGCATGATATTCATTATTATATTAGATTTTTTATTGGTTGACCAAGCAATAAAAATTTTTGATTTTTTTAACTATCTTATAAATTTTAAATGAAGGAATCTTACTTATTTTCAATATTCAAGGCTATTTTTCGAATTCTGCAGATTAATGAAATTTGAAATAGTCTTAAATATTTAAATTAATGAATAATGTTATTGAGATATCTTCAAAGTTTGAAAATACAAAATATTTTTATTCAAATAAAAAATTATATGCGTATGACAATTTGTCATGCTGATCACTTTTGCATAAACTGATTATGGTCAGATTTATTGACTTCCCTGCAGCACCCACAAAATGTCACTAATGATAAAATTTTTAAAGTTCATTTATGTTAGGGTTAGCGTTTACTTTAGAGTTAAATATTAAACAAATATATAGTAAAATTCCTCGAGAAAAATTTTTTATTAAGATACAAAAGATGATTTCTTATGCTTATTTTCAAGCAATATGCAATTTTTGACCTTTTTTTGATAAAGCAAACGTTTGTTTTGAATTTTCCTGATCATGTAACATTACACCTGATCTTGAAATTTGATTGGCAAAAAATCACGTGCTAGTGATATTTTGTGGGTGCTGTAGGGAAGTCAATAAATCTGACCATAATCAGTTTATGCAAAAGTGATCAGCATGACAAATTGTCATACGCATATAATTTTTTATTTGAATAAAAATATTTTGTATTTTCAAACTTTGAAGATATCTCAATAACATTATTCATTAATTTAAATATTTAAGACTATTTCAAATTTCATTAATCTGCAGAATTCGAAAAATAGCCTTGAATATTGAAAATAAGTAAGATTCCTTCATTTAAAATTTATAAGATAGTTAAAAAAATCAAAAATTTTTATTGCTTGGTCAACCAATAAAAAATCTAATATAATAATGAATATCATGCTATAAAATTAGTATTCAATAGGGAATCTCTAGAAATATAATTATTTTAGCAATTTGTAAAAAAAAAAAAAAATTGTAATAATTTGAAAAGCGCAGTAATGATTTTATACCCACAATTTTTAGGATTCTGCCGATATGATTAACATACATATGTAACTAAATTAACCAAAGTTCATTTCTGAAGTCTAGTTTACGCATCTTTTGATATAATTTTGCCACTATTCACCAAAGTGAAAGAAGTATTACTTCTAATTTTGAATATAAGATTTGTTTTTCAGAAAAATTTAAACTCAGTTACATAACTTTTTTTTAGGTGTAGGCTTTTATTTTTACTATAGTTTTAAGAAAATGCACTTAAACGTTGAAATATTGTATAAGTATTCAAATTGTATTAATGAAAAAGTAATATTTATTTCAATTAATAAAACAAAATCAATAATGTACTGTATTATTTGAATGACATCGAGAAGTTTGAGTGTTTGGTCAACATAATAAATCAAACATATTTGTAGACCCTTATTAAATCTGTATAATTAAGATTTTTAAATAATACAATTGGCTAATTTAGAGAGACAGATTTACATGTTGATCTATATACTGCATAACTTGTATTTTTGATATTTATACATAAATAATAATTTAAATACATCAAAAAAGTAACTTTAAGGCCTCTTATACTGATAATTTCTTGTTATCTGGCATGATCTGACGAATACACAGTTATTGGCAGGATAATAACAAAAGTACATGGCCGAAGGCCACGTGTGTTGTTATTATTCTGTTAATCTGTATTCATCACTATTATACTGGATAACTAGTTTATTCGGCAGGTATGACGTATACACTTACGGAAAAAATTGATATTATGCTACAAGTTTTATATTAAAATGATTTTAATATTAATCTGCGGCAATAATGTGAAATTTTTTCTGTCAGTGTTTACATAGTACTTGCCAAATAATTGTACATATTTGATATCGATTAAAAAAAAAACTTTCAATTTTGAAAAAAATCATTAAACGTAGTTAATATATACTGTGTACCAAAACCCTCCATATTTGTTTCTTTTTTTTCTTTCTTATTACATTGTCGAATCTTAACAATTTCATTTTTAACGTCATCCTTAGAAAAATTTGTTCCAGAAAGATGTAGTTTAGATTCTTTAAAATCCAGTAACATATTTGAATGAGTTTTTAAATCAAGCTTGTTAAACATGCCTTCAATCTGTTGCTGATGGACAACTATATAATAAATTTTTGTAGTTATGAATTTATAAAGAAGCGGATAGTCAAATAAACTAGAATTTGATTCTTCACAAAAATTATCAAATTGTTCATAAAAGTTAAGTCTGAAACAAGAGATGCTCTTAATCCAAAATCTAAAGTATTATCATTTTAATATCATTTTCAAGTTGTTGTATATAGGTTATCTCTCATTCAGATGGCTGAAGAACTGGAAAATTTAAAACAATATGACAGTAACTTTTAGCAAAAGACTAGGCATAATTTTCTTCTAATCGACAAACTGATAAAGGTAATTTCATCTATTGAAGTATCTATTTTTCAAAATATGTAATTGCTTTTTTCATACCTTTTTCTAGTGAATCAAATATTTTACCAAAATCTGATTCACTTAATAATTTAAGTGCTTCAAGTAATTCTTTAGAGAAGAACATATCAAAATTATTTGTAGCGTTTGTTAAAAAACCTAACCATTCTAAAACCTTGTCAGGCATTTCATGTGCACATCGACCAAGAGGTAAATTTATCCAGTCTTTGCTATTAAATATTCACAATACAGGATCTTGACCAACAAGAAATGTCATTAATAGAATAAAAAATTGTTGACCAAATATTGTTAAACATTTTAGTTGAATATTAAGCTTTTCATCTTTAAGCCAGGTATAAAAGAGGCGCCAATCGGTTAAATAAGATTGTGTTGTATTAGGGTAAGATTCCATTGCTTGAACAAACTATTCTATGAACTCAAGATGTGACTCTCTTCTCTCTAGATATTGTTCGGCTGTATGCAACTCATACCCTCAACGAGTTTGTAATAGCATTTGATATTGTGAATAGCAATGTCCAATGAGCGATTTATAAAGAGCTTGAATATATTCTGATTTTATATTTATTAGAGCATTATTATTTTTGTTTCCGTAGCTGTTGTGGAGATACCAAGCAAGATACAGGAGATTATAAGGATAAGATTTTCTTGAAAAACCTGACATACGTCCAAAGGCTTCATTTTCAAAGTTAGTAAACACAATGTTAATAATATGCAGAGTATACCCAATTTGAGTTGAATTTGAATTGGTCAGCCTATTAAACTTAATAATGACCCGTTCACATTTCCAGACATGTATGTGGTATTATCAGTAAGCCATATTATATATTTTTGTATATCAAGTTGATATTTCCGGCAAGTTTTGATTACAGAATTTGCAATAGTATCAGAATTATATTTTTTTATAATGTTTAAACTGATCATACTTGCTATTGGATAATTTTGTTCCTTATCCCAATACATAAAACAGATAATCAAGTTCTTGTCTTGACCGCGTATTGATTCGTTAACAGAAATACTAAAGGTATTGGTTTGTTGAGCATGTTTGACTAAATTAGAAATGGCTAATTTTGATATTTGCTTATACCAGATTGTAACTCATTCCATTAAGAGCCAACTTTTCGATACCTCCCTGTTAAGAATTCATATATTAACTTTGTATATTCTATAGTTGCATGCATTGAAACTTGTCTGACTTGAGACAACTTAGTTATAAGTCAAATCATATCTGATGAATAGTATCGATCATTTGATTTAAAAAGTGCTTTAACTTGTTTTTTAAAGTCTTCTGAAGAAATTTTTTTAGAGTTACAAACTAAGAAACGTATTTTAGATAATTAACGCAATATTTTTTGTTTAAAGTGACGATTTTGAGATCTGAAAGATTTTATTTTTTTAATAAGAGCTTCATTTTTCTGGGTTAACTTTTTGTTTTGAAGCCAAAGATGATCATATTCTTCTTTTAAAGCAGAATAGCTATCTTGTGGCCGATAAAGGGAGTTAGAAATTACTTTAACTAATTGCTGTTGCAAATATAAAAATATAATTTTGCCTTCATTTTTTTCTCGTAGATATCTCATATTGTTCAGCAATTTTAATATATCTTCTTTCTTTTTGTTGTCTAAGCCTTGGATAAGTTCAATAAGTTTATCGTTAGATTTTATGTAAGCTTCTAACTTATTTTTTTTTAATACTATATATAAACTCTAGAATGCTATCAAAATCTTCGTTAAGACTCTGAAGAGCATCTGTGGCTTTTCTAATTTTTTTAGCCCTTATACGATTAGCCATTAATTGAATCATTTAGAGACATTTTTTAGAAACTTTTGGCATTGCAATTGAATATAGAAATTGTTTTTTGGCTTGGAATTGTTTAATATAATACTTTAACATATAGTTTTTGGAAATATATTTTATTTCTTAATATTTAAATATTTTTTTTTATAATAAATAAATAATTTAAAGACAATTGTAAACACTTTAATTTATTATAATAAACTGTCATCCATAAGATGCATACAATAAATTATAAAACTATTACAAAAGCTGATATTTAAACAATATAAAAACTAAAAATATAAATTTACGACTTGAACAATTAAATCAATTGGATATAAGAGTTGCGTGAACTAAACAATTGATACATAAAGATTATTACAAAAGCATGTTTGAACCTAAACAAAAGTTTGTGACTTGAACAATTGGATATAAGGGTTGTTTGATTGGACACAGTATATAAAATTGCACAAGTTTGAACAATTAGAATATAGATTATACTAATTGGATATAAAATTGCACGAGCTGGACAATTGGAATATAGTTTGTACTAATTGAACACAAAATTGTACAAATTGGACGAATTAGCAATTAGACACAAAGTTATATGAATTCCATTATAATATTTAGAAGACATTATCTCACTTTAGTGTAATGATTTACTATTTAAATTAAAACAGCTAATTTTATGATCTATTACTTCATTAGTTTGTAATTAATTCTTTTACGCTTTATTATTAGTTATGAATCTTATATAAAGAATCACTTAACAAATAAAAAAGATTTCTTTTAATTGATAATACAAGCATAAAGATGCATCATAAAAAAAAATATACTCAAGTATACCCTTATCAAAAATCATTCTAATGGAATAAAGGCTATTGCACGTGATTGTACACATGATAAAACAACTAAAATACAGTACCAAAACCAACTTTCCACACTTACTGCGTCCTAAATGAATATTCTTCTTTCTTGGTAAGCCGTCTTAAAATCTATGACTTAGAATTAAATTCAGAGATGAGAAATTACATGTCTTTCCCAGACCGTAATAATATTCAATCTAATTTTATTTACTTTGTAATTCTTGATTAGATTTTATCCAATCAGAATTATTAAATATGTCACATGATCACTTACAATTTTTGCTATCTAGTTTTTAGCGTTTTAGTTAATTAAAAAGATAATTGCATTAATCAATGCATCATAACCAGTACTTTAAATGCTCGTGCCAAAATTTTAATATTTAAGGTGTAACGCGAGCTATTTACAAATTAATCCTTTTCAATTATATAAATATCCACAAAATATTAAGAAAAAAAATTAAAACGTGAGTACCAACAAAAACCCTCATGACAGATTGAAAAGCACACTTTTTTGGCCTATTTCATAATATTTTTAAGTTCGAATATTTAATACTGAGGGAGGTGTTAGATTTTAAACATTCATCACTTTCGTATAGTAAATTACTATTAAAAAATGATATTCGCCTGTGTAACAATACGATCATATTAAAAATCTGTCCTAATTGATTTAATTAGGGGTCTATACTGATCTTTGTTACAATTAGTCGATCAAACACCCCATCGAGAAGTCTCTGGTTTGATCTTAATTACTGCGCTTTTTCTTTCTGTTGGTTGACCAAACAATAAAAATTTTTGATTTTTTAACTACTCATAAATTTTGAACGAAGGAATCTTACTAATATCCGCTTATTTTCAATATTCAATGCTTCTACAGATTAATAAAATTCTTAAATATTTAAATTAACAAGGGATGGTACGTATTGATAGAATTGATTTTCAGATTCCTGGAGTGTGATGCTGATTACAAACAGTAATTTGAAAAGCGCAGTAATCTTCACTATTTAATAATCGTATTGACTGTTCTACAAATTATTTATCATTATCACATCATTAAGGTTGGTAAATGGTCATTTTTTGCGCGAGATGGTGCAATGAAGCATTTTTTTCTTACATATAAAAGAATGTTTTTATTCTAAATTATTGCAATTATTATATATATTATAAAAATATATAAAAATAATCATTATTTTTTACACTATAGTGGTTATTAATAACCATAGTAACCATAGTAAGTTTCTATTACAATTTAGGGTTTGGGTACAGTTTTAGGACATGGGTTTATAGAACATAATATAGGTTAGGTAAAAAGGTCTAAATTTTAGTTTGCATAAGGTTTTCGAGGTCCTGAACATTTTTACTTGCGTAGTATTGGTTAGTGAATTTTCTTGAAATATAGCACTCTGGTTATCAATAACCACTGGCATAGGTTAAAAATAACATAAACATTAGTAATAGTAACATGGGTTGTTGCATTGGCAAATTCGTGCTTAGAGTATTTGTATTTTATATGTTCTAAGCATGGAGTTGCTATGCAATAATCCATATTACAGTATTAAACATACCCAATGGAGTAATAAAGATTCAGAGCAGGAATTCATTCTAAATAAAATATATTTATTTCGTTCAGTTTTCTTGCATTTTCAAATTATTGACAATTTGTCGACTGGTTTAGCTTTTTTTTTTTTTTTTTTGCTGGAGTTTAGACGGCCTAGAAATAAAGGCATTTTCCTATATAATACAGTATACTATATATTTTAAATAAAGATTAGGCAATATAGAGTCAGTGTATAAACGTAAAGCCCACCAATCTTAGTGAATAATCGATATCGAATCTAAATAATTTTGATTGGTTGGAATAAATGATATTAGCACGATTAAAACAAGCGATAATGATATTGTCAACATGTCTCACTTAGGCACTACAAACTCTTCTTTAAACGTAACAACTCTGAGAGAGTTGGCGCGAAAGGATTTAAAGAATGTGCTTGATTCTGTATGCATTCTTCTATATGAGTAAAACATTAATGCTTAACACTGTTCGGTAGAAAAGTTCAACCCGCAAATCAATATAAAATTATTCCTTTTCTACTGAACCAAGTCAATGTAATTTAAAATCGATTTTAAAAAGTAAAAAGACAATAAGCCTATAATTTATTATACGTAGGTGAGGGGGAAAAAATGCCTAGTTTTGGATCCCAACATAAGTGGACCTTTGAGTCTTATTGCAGAATTTTCACTTTTGAGGGTATTTATAAATTAATTTTGATTAGAATCAATGAATTAGAGCAGTGAATGAAATAACGAAGCGTGATTCAACTATTTATCGAAGGAACATGGTGTTGAAAAAGTACATTATCTTCAACAAGGGCCACTTGATACCGAACTTCGAAGCTTAATTTACATTTGCAGACCACAATTAATTTATATGAAATATATAGCTGGTATAGATAAAATTTTCATGATCATTTTTTTTTAATTTATTAAAATAACAAATTTTTGTTACTTTGGCCTCTTTTCCAGAACACATCCAGCATCACCAAAATGAATACGTAGAGAACCCTGACGCTCAAAAGTATGAATATACACTCTTTTTTGTTCCACGTAGAACAATGATCTGTGAAAAAGTTTTAGAAGAAGCTGGGGTCTTTGGTGATATCCTTGATATTATGAATTTTATAGATTTTTTTTATGAATTATCTGTTCAAAGAAGTTTCCTTGACTAATAATTTTACAGATCACAATTAACGAATATCACCTAGACCTAATACCTTTTGAAGATGATTTATTATCCTTGGAATTAGATAATACATT